CCCCAAAACCCCAAAACCCCAAAACCCCAAAACCCCAAAACCCCAAAATAATTAAATAGGATATTAATCCCTTCTGGTCTTCTTATACCTATTTTTGACCTTAAGTTTCATCTTTCTCCATTTCCTGAGGAAATCAGCACACTAGAGAGATAAAAGAGGATGTAGACCTACATCATATTTATTAGAGACAATGTCTTCAACTTTGTTATGGATCTTCAGCATTTTTCCTTTGACTCCGAACACAGCCTTGTTCTTTTGGATCATCTCATTTCTTTTATTAATCAATCGCTTCTTCTTTAAGTTTGGCTTCTCTGGACTAGGCTCCAAGTGGGGATTTGGAGACTGATTAATGCCTTCTAAGGAATCATGCCCCAGAAAGTATGAAAGATCAGGTAAAGGATGAAGAGGTTCAACTCAAAAAGGGGTTGTCTTTGTTTTCAACGATATTTTACCATGCTGGTGCTGAAAATGCCCATCAGAGAGTTCTTGGAGGTACCTAGAATGAATAAGAAGTTGCTCAAATCATCTCTTTGAATTTTCACAGGGCTGAGATTTGAGATGAGTTTATTTTATTGCTTATAAAAATGCATAAATTCTTCTTCAAATACATAAATCTTAAAATATCCTACCGTGTTGACTGTAAGCTGGCTGCTATATGGAAAGGTTAGGTTAATAATTATCCATATCACAATCAAAGCCTATCCCTTTAAGTGAGCTTGAAGTGCATTGATAAAAATCTTCCTAATTAAAGTCAGGTTTGAGTGCCTTGAACATCGGTCAAAATGGCTGAAATAGTCAAAAGCGGGTGGGAAATAAGAGCGAAATTTCAAACCTAGTCTATCCCATTATAAAATGTCTCTGAGAGAAGAAGCTCTAGTTTCTCAAGGCTCTTAATTTATCTGTCAGAATTTTCAGGTTTACAAGACTAAGAATACAGATGTTAAATTTTATCTGAGGTAAGGTTTTTTAGCTTTTGACAAACATTCCATTTCCAGAATTATGACCAAAGATTAAATAAGTACCTTGATCATAAGTGACGTTGTTTCTGCCCGTAGTTTCTTGAATAAATGACTGAATGTGCTTCTGGGGTTCTCTTCTAGAGTTTCTGTTGGCATTTACCGTTGTGAAACATTAAACCATTGTTTTCCAGTACTAGTGCCCCAATTAACACTTCTATTATGTATGCTATGGTGAGGACTACCGAGGCTATGAGGTTCTTTTTGAGAATCACTTTCAAATTTTGCCTTCGTCTGTACAGTATTTAAGCTAAACTTAGGCTGAATTAGTACCTCTTAGATAGCTCACTATGAACAGTGCAGGTGGGAGAAACATGAAACCCATTATTATTTTTGTGCATACGGTTACTATGCCTGAGAGATTTCCTCTTGCTTCTGAGATTTTCTCAAGGATGGTAAAGTACCTAAGAATAGAGTAAAAGTTACCTTCAAGTCTTTATTCCTACCTTTGTGGGGCTTAAAGTTCACCTACAGAAATATTTATCGAATAAAAATTAAATCCGAGTTCTTACTTCAGTTCTTCGGGATCCAAGCAATCTGTTCTCTAAAGACTGGCTTAACTGCTGAGGGACTCTATTTCTTCTTTGGTGCGCATTTAGTGATCAATACATTGCCGATAATCATCCCTTGCTTCATAATTTTAGCTAGAGAAAATCGTTTCAGGTGAAAAAATGATAGTTGTTCAAAATTTAGGCTCTATCAGGTCTAGCTAAATGAAAATTACAATTCCAAGCAAAATAAAAATTGCAGTAACAATATTCTAAATTTCTAAAGAACTCATTCAGGTGTTCTACAGTCTATTAACATTGGATGGTTCTGACACAAAAATAGTATTGGGAAGAGGCATCCAAATCTGTGTATTAAAGCCAGCTCATCTCTCATTGAGTAGGTTATTCAATCTATATCTATCCTGTACTAATTTCAAAAGCTAAAAAGCTAGTAAGAATTAGCTATGCACTCAGATGAATACTCTGACATCTGAAAAGATGGGTACCAGGCTCCTTGTGAGCAGAGAGCTACTCTCATTGAGACCCTTCTATACGCTATCTCTTCTCTTTTTTCTCTAATATAGACTAAAGGGATGCAATCCCACAAAGGTTTCTACAGAAATCTCATGAAGAGGCTTGAGCACGGTTATTCAAAGAATGATAACTACTAGAAAATTTGGATAATCAGTGAGAGTTGGGAAACAAATAAACCTCCAACACGAGAGAGCAAGAAGTTGCTATTTTAGCTAGATAGAATATTTGTCATAGAGTGAGACAACACCAGAGAAAGATCGGGAGTAGAAAGCTCTAACCTCAAGAATTTATTAAGTATAAGTAAAAGTTCAGACTTTCTGTTCGAACTATAATTGAGAAACACAATTATGTGACAGGATTATCCACTATGATTAATAATCTAGTTCTTCAATAGAGGAATGCTTTATTTCTGTTAAATATCTTCATGATCTCGATATATGCCTGAATAGTAATTTATATAGTTTATTTGTTGTCATTCACCTACCAGGAACAATATCTCGATGCCGAAATTTCAGTTTAGGAGTTCCATCAGAATCAGCCTGCCGGCTGATTCTGGAAGGAAATCTTCCACTGATACTTTTTAAATAGAAATTCAAGTTCTTGGAAGTACACGATAGAGTTCTGCTGTTCACCTTCATTTTGGGATCTACAATTCTTATTAAAATTTCGGAAGGAATATAGGTACAAGAGGTGTTAATGGCAAGTTGTTATTTGGCAAGCAAAAAATCTAATTTTCACTTTTTACAATATTACCAAGTTTCAAAGATGGTATAATAAAATTAAATATCTCTATAATTTTTAATTAATATGGGGTTTTGGGGTTTTGGGGTTTTGGGGTTTTGGGGTTTTGGGG